ATAATCCCAGCCCTGAGGCCCACGTGACATTTGGCCACGCCTACTCATACCTATGCATACTAGGACGTAGCCCTGCCCCCTTGCAGGAAATAAATTCTGCCACCTGGCTGAAGTCCTGAGGCTCATTTTGCTCAGATCCACCCGTCCTGATTGACACCCGCCATGCGTAGCTGTCACCTTCCTTCTGGTTGACACTGTTGTTGGAACGTGTGCCTGCGGCTCCTTCAGCAGCCAGAGGGGGAGACTGTTGAGATACAGAAGCAGTTTTCCCCAGGCCTTGAAATGACACTTCCCACTGAATGTTTTCTAGCACCAGCTGGCACGTCCAGAATGAGCAACAGGGACGATGTTGACCTACCAAGCTCCGATGGTTTGGGGACATTCGCGCCCAAGGCGTTCCCGACAGGAAGGTCGCAGTGAAAGGGCACAGAGGCCAGGGAAGGATGCCAAGATGGAGCCCGCAATGGCAGGGACATTATCCCCTGGCTAGGGTCTCCCCAGAAGATCTCAATCCATCTGTGAGGCTTGTTCTCCTCTGAACGTGGGGCTCGGGCAGCCTTTTCCAAGTCCCTCCACCATAGCCACACGCTTGCTTGTGCTGACCCATCATGTTTGGGCTCCTCTATCTACCCAACTTGCTCCTTCATCACAAGGTCAGCTCCCGCCTTTGCTCTGTCAGCAATCGCCCCATTCCCACAAGCCACCCTGCATTGGTGGGAAAAGCAGCTGGCAATCGAGGGAACCAGCCCCTTAACCCTCTTCCACATCCCTCCTCATAACTCTTCTCTTCCGCAGGGCAGACCAAACACTGCGCTCTCATCAGCACTGGTCGTGTTACTGATGAAGGAACCGACGCTCAGTGACAGGCCTAACGTCGCAGGGCTGGGAACAGAACCGAGCCCCTGGGACTTCCAGCCTCCCCTCCTACAGCCGCCAGCACCAGAGAACTACGGGCGCGAAGGCAGGCCCAGCCTGCAGGGCAAAGAGTGAAGCAACAGTCCTTCCATTAGATACAAGCAGCATCCAAAACAGGCGGAGCATCACCGGCTTTCAGACTGTGCTGTCAGCCCCAATGGGTACCACGGCCCGTAGGAGGGTCCTTCCGAGTCAGTCTCCAGCTCCCACCATCCAACACCCTGGACTCTCCACCTACCACAAAGGGAAGAGAGGCAACATTCAGGATTCATTAGGACGCCTCCCCAGGGGCTTGGCAGTCCCAGCTTGCTGAAGGTGCTCGTTTTCCTCCAGCCTCCACGTCGCACAAAGATGCACGTCCCATGCCCGCCTGTTGCAACCACTCTGCCCATCTCCAGGAAGGAGCTTTGCCATGGCCGAGAGGGGCTGAGAAATGGATCCTCCTCAGCTCCAAGCACTAACAGATGCTTCTCCTCTTGGCCTTGGGCTTCCTTCTCAACAGCCATGGGGAGACACCAGTCTGCGGCTGCCTTTCTGGGAGAGACTTGTGATCCACTGGCCCAGAGAAACACTGCCCATCCGGACACCCTCTGTGAAGGAAGAGGTAGCAGCTGGTGCTGCTCTTCTCCCCTAGGTCCCGGCTTCTGCAAATCAACCACCAGGCATCCCTTTATGGACTTCGAGCCAGCCCAGAGAAGTGCTGGGACACAAACGGACCACGAGTGGTCCCAGCTGCAGCTGTTGCACCACACTGCTCCTCCCGCACTCGGGTCATAGCCACAAAGCTGCCGTATTCCACTGGGCCCTGGATCCTCCTCCCCCCGGTCCCTGAGACGGCAGGCCAGAGCGCCGGCACCACAGAGCTCTCTACTTTGCTGGGAGAAGCACGTGAATCACTTCCTCTTCCACTCCTGCCTGACAAGAATTCAGAACGAGCGAGTCAGAGGCCTCCTTTGGAATCAGCCACCGCACACATGCGCACGGACGAAACGGATCCTCGAGATGAGCAACAGAAATGGAGGCCTGGGAAGGGAAGCGCATCCCCCATGACCTTCTCTGCAGGAGCCCTGAGCAGAACGCGGCTCTCGGCGGGATACAAGGCGCAGCCACCCATCACTGTCTTCCCTTCGTTTTGTCACGGCCACTGGGCCAGCAAGACGGGACAGTGCTGTACTGCAGCGCCGACATGAATGACATGACAGGAACGGAAAGGGTTAGCCCACATCCTCTCTGCTCGGCACATCCCCTTTTGATCCAGTGGTAGCACTCCAACCAGCAGACACCCTCGCTTTCCAGCCATGCCTTCTGCATTATGGATGGAAGGCGGGGCCCAGAAGCCGCTGTGTAAAGCAAAGGAAAATACCTTCCCCAGCTGCAATGTATTCACTGAAGCTTACACTGGCTCCCCTGATGCACAAGGGCTCCCGCATTTGCCTCGCTTGCCGTGCTAAGACCCGAATCCTCGGTGCCCCAAAACTAACTAGAACTCAACATTCTAATCCAGCTGGGCATTTGGGGTTTGTAGCCACCACCAATGATTTGCTGGGAGGGGAACTGACGAGGCTGAGCTAGAAAAAAAACAAAAAACAAAGCAGGAACTCGGCCCTTTGAACAAAGGAGAAACAGGGAGCAAAGAAGCCTGAAGCAGGCGAGGACAGTGTGAGAAGCACTGAAGGGGAGGTGGGCTCAGGAGCACAGAAGCCAGAGTAGCTCGCCCACAGGCAGCCACAAGGTAGGTGGCTCCCTGGAGGCCGGGGGAGCCATTTGCCGATGTTACTCCAGCGCGCACAAATGAACAGAATTAATCCAAGCGCACAGCTGTGAAATCTCCTAAGTTACTGTCACTAGGGTTGCCAGGTGTTTAACCAAAAATACCAACCCCCCCCCCCCCCCAAAAAAAAATAAAAAAAACCACCTGGGGGAAAAATTCTGTTGAGGGGAAAAAAGGGGGAGGCGGGGGGGAAGACCAAAATTGTTGAGCTTAAAAAAGAGACCTGGAAAGTTAAGCCAATAAAATAAAATAAAACAAAATAAAAACAAAACAAAACAAAAACAGCATGGCCCCTTTAAGTGTGAGAGGTTGAGCACTAAGACCCAGGGAAGTCTGTTTCCCCTTGCTTCAGGTCTTTTTGCTGGAGGCCATCTTGTTTTCTTGATCGAGCCCCTCAGGTAAGCAGAAGGGCCGGGGGCGGAGCCCAGTTGCTGAGTGTGTCGTAGGATTGCCAGGTGTCCAGTATTTTCGTCTCCTGGCAGGGAAAAATACCAGAAACTCCTGGACATTTCAGGTGTCCAATATTTTCAATTTTTTTACCGGACAGGAGGCGAAAATACCAGACACCTGGCAACCCTGTCACAGCTGGCAGCCTCTCGCTGCAGTGCCACGTTTAAAGCCCTTCTCCCAACCTGGGAGCCTCGCTGGTTTTGCTTCCCAATGGTCTCTGAGGGGAGGTTTGAATCAATCTAAAATCCCGACCAACAAATCGGTGTCTCCATAAACATTGTTTTACCTCAAGTTGCTCCTACTCGATATCGGCAGCTGTCAGTTTCACATGCCTCTGAGCGGCCTCCCCAGCACAGAGCTGATGGGAGATCAGATTGGAAAAGGCTTGAAGGCAGTTGGAAAACGGGGCTTTCCACAAATGTCTATTTGCCAAGGGATGCTTCCCTCCACACCTTTGACTGGTTTGTTCGTGTCCCCACCAGGAGCCCCAGTTATGGCCCACACCCTTTTTAAATATAAAGCACTGTTTCCATGGCATCACAGCTGGTCAGGCCGGCAAAGCGCTTCAAGGCAAAGCAAGCACCCCTCCAACGCCCCATCTCAGACATGGCCAGGGCTGCAGTGCTTTGAAAGCAGTGACTCCGTTCGAATACCACAGGGCAAGTTTTAAACAATTCTTCCCTTTGGCCCCAGAGGGAAGTGGCTTCGGGTTGCTGCCCCACGAAGGATGGCGAAGCGACGGGACCGTCGAGTGGACAGCGGGGGCTTAACATGAGAAATGCACAAAGGATTCCACACAACCAGGCCACATTTCCCCATCAACCCTTCTCCCACCGGCGACAAGTCCTAGCCCACTTGGGCTGTGCCTGCCTTGACTGCTTGCTGTTTTCCAGTAATCATCCGGTTGCCAGGAACTCCACATCCCTCAGGGGCTGGCTCGTGACACACAACCCACAGGCAGGATCAGGACTCGGATGTACCTGCAAGGCAGCTCCTTCCTCCCCGCACCCAGCCCAGCAACCGCAGCACCCATTGGGCCTGCCTGAAGAGCACATCTGTTCGGCACTCCTCCTACAGCCTCTCTCCTCCCCCTGGCTCCTTGGACCCAACTGCACATTCTGCACCATGCATGTCCTGACAGGGGTGTTATTTGGGGATCTTTGCACCAGCTTCTTCAGTTTGAAGGAAACAAGGATCAACACAGCTATGAGAGAAGCAAAGGAAAGAGGGGGCCGCTTGTCCCCAGGCAAATCAAATCAGAAGGTGAGCGGAACGCACTCAAATCAGCGAGCCACCTTCCTCCGGCACAGCCAGTTACCGGGCCTCGCACTTACTGCGGAAGGGGGAGCGCATCTGATCAAGCTGGAGCACTGCATGACGGGCGTGGGGTCTCGATGGACAGCATATTCAGCATGAAGGTGGCGCTAACCAGTGCCATTCCATACAAACCGGGGACAGCACTGGACTCCCGGGACACCTTCAAAACCTGAGCGCCCTTAGCTTAAATATAAGGGGTCAACTAACAGCGTCCTTTGCATCCTTCCCCAACCATGATGGGGTGAGAGCGAGACTCTCAAAGACAAAGTCCCTTGGTGGTTTTGTAGTTGGCCGAGTAACATAGAAACCCCACATCTCCCTGTGGCTCAGACGCTGAATGGTCTCCCCATCTTACCAGGGGCACAAGGAGGGACAGCAGCTAATGGGTCTGAGGACAGAGCTGGCGTTTGGTTACGCTCACCTGGCAGCTACAGTCACAGACAGTTACTTGCCCCGGAACCCCTTTTCTTGCGCTAACGCCCAGCAGAGCGGAGCTATGGCGTCCGTGAGCTGGACTGGCCCCCTGGAAGCTACCCTCTTGGCCTACCTAAGCTGTGGCCATTCTTTGTGTAGAAGCAGGTGTTGTTGATGAGGTTGACGCAGCAGCCAATCACATCTCCCGTCGTGAAGGTGGGGCCGTAGGGCTGCCCTGTCCCCGAAGAACAGAAGGAATGCCCGTCGTCGCCGTGGTAACCATACGAGTGCTTGTCCCAACCTGCGGAAGGGAAAAGGGCAGGTTAGTAAGGAGGCAGGGTGCAAGGAACGGTGTGTCCATCCTGCAGAGGAGGGGGAGCTATTTTCCTGCCCCAGGGACACTTAAGATTTTGAACATTTTTCCTGTCCCAAGGGGGGATGAAAAGTTTAAATCCGAAAACCATTTTGGCTGGGGTCAAGCCGAATAGCTGAACTTGACCAATCAGTTTACTTGACCTGTTAGAGAACACTTTAATCTGCCTGGACACTCGTTAATGGATCTCCAAGTCACTGTGTTGTTTCAGACCAATTCCACACAGGAAAGGGCTGGAACTTAACTTCGTTCACAAGTCTAATTCTTATGCAAATGGAATGAACACAGACATCCCTGGTTTGCACATCAACTTCCACATCCTAAGGACTTAACTAACCAACCAACGGAGGTGCTAACTGTTCTCATCAGCCTCTTATAACTACTTGAACAATTTACTCGCTGTCTCCTTTTCTTTCTCTCCTCTCCCCGCTTCCATTATTTATTCTTGGATCTGGACTTCTAATATTCCAGTCGTCTGAAGAAGTGGGCTGTGCCCATGAAAGCTCATGGTCCCATCTACATGTTTTGTTAGTCTTTATGGTGCTACTAGATTACTTATTCTTTTTTAAGTTTTTCCTATTGCAGACTAACTCAGCTACCCCTCTGAAGTGTTTGTTTTTACTATAATTAGCTGAACATTTCAAAACAAAACAAGTTTTGAACCAAACGGAAAGTTTCTGTTTCAAAAGTGCTGAAATAGATAATGGACAGTAGGGATGTTAAAATGCATTTAGGTAAAATTAATTTCAGCCGCTACACAGTTACATGTGGGGTGGCAGTAGGCTCCCTGGGAGCCAGTGCATGCAAGGGGGTGGCTTTTAAGCCAGCTCCTGCCTGCGGCCCCATGCTGCTGCCTCAAAGAGAGGCAACAGTGCAGGGAGCAGACAGCTCCATGGGAGCCGGGTGCTGCCTTTTAAGCCACTTCGCAGGACATACAGGCTCCTGCCTCCACTCCCCCCATGCTACTGCATCCCTGGGAGCAGGTGTGCTCAGGGTGCTGGCTTTTAAGTTGGCTCCCTGCACGCACCGGGAGTCTGCATGTAACCATGAATGTTAACTGACGACTCACTGGTTAACTGTGTACCATGTTACTCTTTCACATCCCTATCTGACAATTTCAAACAATTTCTGACAAAAGGTTGATGTGATTTTTTTCTTTAAGAAAGCAACTCCCGTGAAAAGTCTCAGTTTTGATCACTCAGCCTTTTCCAATACACATTCTTGGCTAGCTCTGGCATTAATAAACGGTACCGCAGTTTGGGGCATGTGTGTGTGTGTGTGGGGGGGTGTCTGCAGAAGAGAAGAGTGAAGGGGGAGTTTGAGAGCAGCCTTCAACTTCCTGAAGGGAGGTTCCAAAGAGGCTGGAGAGAGGCTGGTTTCAGTAGCGATGGATGGCAGAACAAGGAGCTATGGTCTCAAGTTACAGTGGGGGGGAGGTCTAGGTTGGATATTAGGAAAAACTATTTCACTAGCAGGATAGGGAAACACTGGGCTGGGTTCCCTAGGGAGGTGTTTAAGTCTTGGTTTGACAAAGCCCTGGCTGGGCTGATTGAGTTGGAATTGGTCCTGCCTTGGACAGGGGGCTGGACATGACGACTCCTGAGGTCTCTTCCAGCCCTGGGGTTCTATAATTCTATGATAAGAGACATTCACAGGCATTGCTACACTTCAGATTTGAGCTCCTAGCCCTTGTGGCTTCAAAGCAAACCTTGTGCTCCAGAGGCAATGACGCGCCCAGAGCAAGTGGCAGCTGGAAACAGGAACTCCAACGGCTGGAAACGGACTCATTCGTCTTAGTGGGCGTCGATTCAGAAACCTAGTGATGGTTTAAACATCCACCCTGTGAATGCTGCTGCTGAAATAGCCAGCACCTTTAGGACTAGAGATTAGCTTTGTTGCTGGTTCCCTCCCCACGACCTGATCTTGTGCCCGACATCAACAGAGCATCTCTCAAGTCAATCTTGCGCCTCCTACAGGGGCACATTGATCCTTCCTCGGGATCCAGAACAGCTGGACGCACAATTGTCATGTGGCTTTGTCCACTTATTCCCATCGACACTGGCTCTTCCATATGACACTGCCCACTAGTGCAACACTTATATTACAACCCTCCTCGTATGGTGAACTGAACCTGCTACTTCATGCAGTTTACCCCACGCCTGATATCACCTCCTAATACGCAGACCTCATGGTCAGGCGCTCTCTAGGCAGTGGAGAAAGTTACGGTTGTTCCTGACTAGTAGGCAACGCAGTCAAGCAGCACATAAGTCACCTCCCCCACTCTCTCAGCTGCCCCTGACTGGATGGCTAAGTGTGCTGCATTTAGGGATGTTTAAAAAAAAAAAAAAAAAAACAACCAACCCTAAAAAACTATTAACTATGAAACCAGTGCACTTGGGCAGCTGCCCAGGAGAGATTCGGGTGCAGCCCAACTGATTAGCAGAGTGCCCACAGCCTCCAGAACGTGTTTTTATTGGTGGTGCACATTTGCACATGACAAAATGTATTCCGCACACCAACGGAAAAATTCGAGGGAACATTGCGTGTAATCAGTAGAATTTCAAACACACATGCACTCAGGGAAGAGCAGAGGCCCCTCTTCCAGTCAACTGATTACCTGACCTGGCTCAACAAAGGTTCTTTATGCTACAAATGCAACCAGGGTAGTTTCTACAAGAGCAAGAAGAACACATTCAGGCAAGAGGGGCTTTGAGAGACCCAGCCTCAGGTGTGAGGCGTCTGCCGGCAAACCAACAGTCTTTATGTTTGAACAATAATCTATACCCTAAGACAGGGGTCTCCAAACTGCGGCCCGGGGGCCGGATGCGGCCCGCGAGGGCCTCTCATCCGGCCCGTGGAGACCTTTTTGGATTCAAAGGCAGAAGAAGTGAGATTGTTTCAAAACCCATTTGAAGCAGATGTGGCCAGTTGCCCAGATGAACTGCAGCTGGAAGTCATTGAGTTGCAAGCAAATGACCTCCTTAGGGACAAGTTCAAAATAGGACTGGTGGGTTTTTACCAGTTTTTGCCCAAGGAAGACTTTCCTAATGTCAAAACTTTTGCATCAAGGTACCTTTCAATCTTTGGAACAACATACCTGTGTGAACAAACATTTTCAAGAATGAAATACGTGAAGAACAATTTGAGAACAAACTTGTCCGATGATAATCTCAGGTCACTGTTGATGTTAGGGACAACAAATCTAAAGCCAGAAATGTCTGCTATTTTGGCATCCAGGAAACAATTTCACCATTCACACTAATACAGGTGTTCATGTGTAGTGTATGAATGTGTTATTAAATAATAACTGAATAAAATAATATTAAATAAATAATTAAAAACAACATCCATGTTTTGATTGTTTTTTATTTGGACCTCAAGTGTGTAGTCGGCCCCCGAACTGCTGTTTGATAGTTAATGCGGCCCTCGGGCTGAAAAGTTTGGAGACCCCTGGTCTATCGCATCCTTTCCTCTGTGTGCATGCCTGATGATCGGCCGCAAATGACAATGCAGCAGGAAAAGGCTGGCGTGTTCGTGCACCCACTGAGCGGTGCTTCCATGGCTCTAATTGAGAGAAAAATGCCAGCAAAACCAATTAGTGCCAGTCAAAGCACACTCACCCCTTGCCTAATTGGTTTCTTCCATTCTGAAATGCAAAATGCCACAGCAAAGGTTGCCTGGAAAGCTCAGAATCACGCAGGGGAAACTCAGCCAGCAGCTAAAACCCAACGTGACTTCCAAGCAACACCTTGGTCCTCTCCTTTCAGACTTGGCTGCTTTATCAGGCCACACAAGAGACCCCAGAAAAGAAAATGCAGAAGACTGACAGTCCAAACCACAACCATCCCGAGAGGAACAACGGTTAAAGCCTGAGCCAAAAGGACAGCGTGAGTCCAGCGAGACAGGGCTGGATCCTCAGCCAGACGTCTTGCAGTGAGTGCTTCCAAATTCTTCGGAGACAGAAGACACTCCTGGCAAACAAGTCCCGTTGCACCGCAGAAGTGACAGTCAGAGGGCGGATAACCCTCTGGAGAGGGGGGCACGGGTCCGGGTCAGGTGGACAAGCCAGAACTGCAGAGGTCCAGAGGCAGGCGGGTGCGTAGGTAGAGCGCACTTCCTGCACCAAGGCACTGGAAGATTTCAGAGTGCTGAGTCTCTTTTATGTATCTGCATTACTGGGGCTCCCAGGAGCCCAGCCTGGCACCTGAATCCACGGGTGCCAATTCCTTGGGGTGCTCTGGGACTGGAGCACCCAGGGGAAAACATTAGCAGCCCCAGACAGCCAGCTCCCACTTCCAGCCCAGTACCTCCCGCTAGTGACCCCATGGATGATCTCCTCCCAGCCCTTCCCACCTACCCCAATCAGCTGCTCTGGATGAAGAAGTGGGGATAGGGCATGTTTGGGGAGGGGACGAGGACTTGGGGAGAGGGATGGAGTCTGGGGCAACTGGGAGGGAAGAGGCAGGATTGGGTGGGTTAAGCTACCAGCAAGCTAAGTGACCTAAAATCAACCTCTATGACCAGCCATACTAGAGAATTCCTGGGCTGGTAATCAGGGCCATTCCTTGTCAATAGCCAGCAAAGCCCTGGGAGAGGGTCTAAATGCTTTGACACGGAAATGGCGATCAGAGCATTAGACACGGTGTGTCTGCCTAGCTATGGCTCCTTAGATGGTAACTATGTAAGCAGACGGTCTGTGTGGATGCTAAACCTCCGGTCCGGTCCGTCACTCGCTCTTGACTCAGCACGCGAAAAGGAATACGAAGCATTAGCCCAGTGGCTCTCATCCTGCCCAAGAGGGCTGTACCCATTCAGGAGGCCGACGTGTCTCACCCGCTCCCGAGGATCATGTCACTTCAATACTTGCTTACAAAACTCGCTTACTACGGGCAACTCGTTGCTTCTCTCTGCCTTGCTGCCTCTATCAG